TATCAAATTGAAAATTATAAAAATTTTCAATCATGAAAATTGACTAGTCATAATTAATACTATGATCGAATTAGGATTCTTGTTCACACTGCTTCCTGTTGTTTTCAGATCATGGCCTGTCCTGGTGTGCTGGCGCTGTTTGCATCCCAGAGGAAGAACGCTGTGTTGGTGAGTCTCTAGCTTCTGAACTCTGCTTCTCTTCAGGTGACAGACAGTAGGTTGGTACATATGGCAAGTTCAGAGACATCTCTTCAGTCTGTTGACATGGCAACCTGCTCATGACACTCTTAAGCTCAGTGGCCTCTTCCAGTTTGATTCCTCTCAATACTGAGGTACTGTTAACTTTTTACAAGGACTGGGCGATATGCTGAAAAACATGTCACAATATAAACATTTTATATCTGTTGATGCTGTTAATTATAGATTAGCTTTTGTTTTAAATAGCTGAAATGCTGCCAAGCTGGTGACATGATCTTTACTTTTTAATCCTCAATTTCACTTGTTTTCTCCTTTCACTCCATGCTGCTGTTTATTTCTAAGCTGCTAAGAGGTACAGTGGTGAAACCTGAAACTGCTGCTGCGCGTGGTACTCAGCGGGCTGTTGCTAGGAAACCAAAGAGTGAGCAAGTGAGTTAGTTGATGCCACCAACCTAGCTTAGCTGGTTGTGAGAGGTTGAGCGGCTAAAGCCTTTCCTCTGCCTACATCCCCCAGAATGCTTTTCTGGATCAGAGTTCAGTGAAAATTGTATAAGACATATTTTCTATTGATATTGATGATTTTCTGTTGTGATATATATTATTGATTTATCGTCCACCACTACTTTTTACGAATTTCCAAGTTTTGACTTTTCAGAGCCAATGGCACCTCCAGGGAAGTTTTAGATGGATGGATGGATTAAGTGATTGATTGATTTGTCAGTTCATTTTTTATTGGGTTTTACGTTTATGTCTGGATTGCAGAAGATGACTCTGTATGCCTAGCTATGACCTGAATATGAACATCTCTATGGTGGTGCAGTGGAGTGAATGTTTTTCCAGAGGGGGTCATGTCCCCCCGGCTCCCTCTTTTGAGGGCACCACTGTTCAGAGTCAGTCAAATCTCTTTGTTTTTGGCAGTTTTGTAGCTTTTATTCTGAATTCCTTTATACACCTTGATATAGATGATCTCCTTAAGCAGCACCTTCCCTCATTACACAAATGCACATCTCTCTTTTGTTCAGTAGATTTTTCAATACATATATTTCCCTCATCTTAAGAACTACTTGGGATGGGATAATTTGAACATTGATGATGATTTCAATTTAGGGTGTGTGTATTTATCTTGTACCATGGCTGTGTGTGGAAGTGTTGTGGTGTAAGCTGATACTGTGGTGCTGCATAGCTCTCTTATGAAATGGCCTGGAAATGGAAAGGTTTTATTAAAAGGGAGGATGAGCTGGAGTCTCTCAACAGGTTAACTTCTCGTTCCATCGTTTCCCTGCTGCCTGTCCCTTCCACACATAAACAGGTCCCAAACGGTCTGGACATTTTGTGTCTGTCCTCAGGTCAGCTGCATGGTGATGGCTGCAGGACTTTCCTGCGCAGCTGCGGTCGTCATCTTCGGCTACTCCTGTCTGACGCTGACCTACGGGGAAGAGGACGAAGACGTCTTCCACCAACACAAAAGTGCCAGAGTGGTAAGTGGCGCACACAGCCGGCTGCATTCAGAGCTCTTCATTTGGTGGAACTTCAAATACACACACATCTGTCTGCTGTTTCTCAGTCTTTCTAACACCTGACAGCAGTGATAGTAGCTGCTGACTACAGACCAGACAAGTTGAAGTGACTCAAGCTTCTTTTAGCTTGGTGGAACATGCTGTTTTACACTGTTTTACATCAGTGTAAAACAGCACACTGTGTTACACTGATGTTATTTCTATCTCCTAACTCAGACATTTGTTCTTCATCGGATGGTGAAAGGAGCCAATGCCACCATCATCCTGACCTGCACCATCAGCCTGGTTCTGTCCTCTCTCATTGGTTATGTGGGTTTCCGGAGCCTTCCATGCTGTGGCTGCTATGATTCCAGGACTGGACTGGTAAGGATTGGTATCCTCTCTGTGTGAGGCTGAAAGGGTTAATCATGTCATGGTACAATGTTTCTCCAAAGGTCATGCTATTGTCTCTGTGGAAGTTGCTAGTAGGGTTCTCAAGTCCAAATAACCAATCTCTTGTTTTAATCAATACTAAAAAAAAGAATACCAAAGAATGACACTATGCTAATACTGATGTTTGAAAGCAGCCTAAAATGGACATTAACGTTCCTGTATCTGTGCTGTAGTAAACTTTACAGAGCCACAAACAAACACTACCTGTTTCCCTCTGCAGCGGTCAGAGGTGGGTTCATTTGGACCCTCGAGTTTTTTCCTACGTGTGCGGTCCGGGGGGATTGTGCTGACCTCGCTGCGCTTTTACAAGGGTTTTTTTGTGTAGTTTTGGAACCTTATGGTTCCCCGGTGTCCAACTGTGACATTTGCTGGAGTTTTAGCGTAATGCTCTTCATAAGCATTGTGCTAAAACTCCAGGAGGGTTACAGACTAGCTTCACAGACGCATACAGCCCTGTGACAGGCTGCAGTCGGTTGGAGCTCCACCGTCAAGACGGGCTCACAAAGCTCAAAACTCCCCAATTTTTTGTTCTGATCTGCGTGATTAGACAGTTGAGAGTGAAGTAAGGACGAGGCACTGTGTAGAGTAAGATGTACTATAGGAATTTGTCACAAGTGTAGGAAATTGACACAGTCAATGAAATCTATGAAATTTCAATTGTGGCAAAGGCAAAATGCTGCCCTGCCCTGAATTATATTCACCTAAATCCCCACCCACTGTTTAAACCACACCACTCAAGACTGAAATCAGAAAGTTATGTGTCATGGAAACAGTTCCTGTTGCTATCAGGTAGGAAATTGCTCCTAATCCATGAACCCTTAGCAATAAACCACACAATCCTCGACCTGGTGCCCCTTCACTGCCTGCCAGCTCACATGAGCAAAGGACAGAATGTATCAGTGATTAGATCACCACCACATGATTCAATGGAGTCAGTACCATCATGTTTATAAAGCCTGGCAGACAGAGGGAGAGAGAGGCAAACCCAGATCAGCCTGGTCTGTGAGTGAGGTGTTTTATATTTGGTGAGCTCTGCTCAGGTAATAATGCTCCATAATCCAAAGTTCAACACTGAATGTTCCCATTAACTCTTTTTTTTAAAGTATCCAAATTAGAAAAAGTCAATGGAAACAGCAAAATTTGAAAAACCCATTTTCACGCTCACTTGAGATGGCTTTTGGTTTTTCTCAAACAATCAATGTGCTACAGTGGAGATGGAAACACGTTACAAACACTTACCTCACACTACTGATTAAAATCACTAGAGTTGCATTTCTTTCTCTGGTTCTCTGGACAGCATGCAACATCATCAATACTGCAGACATGAGAGGACAACTTCAACATGTCCTCTCATAGCAACACATTCCTGACCGTCTCTCTGTTTTTCTGAGATGTGTGGTCCATGCTAGTCTGTTTACTACAACCATGCTATTCTTTAGCAGTTACGCAGTAACGCAGTTAGAATCTAGTGTATTAGCATGTACAATAGTTTCTAAAACTCAGGAATGAAGTGCCCAACCTTAGCTTGGAAATAAACGGTCTTGTATTTCAAATGTTAGAGTTTGTGTCCCATGCTTTAATTTAAAAAGCGTCCATCAAGTATCTCCTCCCTGAATTGTTATGGTCTGTGTTTCAGGAGACCCTGGTTCCTCAGAGTGATCCTGGAGACACAGAGTTGGTGTGTACTTGGCAAGGTAAGCCATCAAATCAGACATGGTCTGTTTGGGTGACAGTCAGTGTGTGGAGCTCCAGACAGTGAAAGTCTTAATGTAAAGACATAGAAGTCTTCAGTGTCAGTATTGTTCTTCATGCATGGTGCATGTCGTGCCTGTTATGTTTTCAGATAAGTTGCATTATGTAATACTTATCCTTATTAAGGTGTTTGTAGTATCACTAGTGATGGGACTCCGTTAAAACTTTTAATCAAGTTAATTGCAGGGAGCGCTTTTAATCACAATTAATGGAATTTTAATCCAAAACATATCAGCAAAGTAAGCAACATTTTCATTTCAAAAACCATTTTTGCTGCTAAATTAGTAGACATAAAGATTTCTTGTTTTAATCTGTTCTTCTGGTTATTCAGCCATCATAATGATGCAAAGTGCTATTAAAAAAATACGTCTATCTGTTTTAACATTAGTGTTGTAGCCGCCAATGCTACTGCTACATGTTTTGCATTGAGGTAATACTATGGGCTTGAATAGCTTCACTGACAGGTTAACACTTTTTAAAACAGCCTGAACACAACAATTGTCTTCTAACATCTCATCAGATCTATTTTTGAAGCAGAATCCTCAGTTTGCCAAGAGAAGCAGCTTTGTCGTTCATCACTGCTGTTTGTGTATGTCGCTTGTGCATCAGATTCACTGGGGTAAAGAAAGACATGAATACAAAGGTTCCAGCTCTGAACATTTGTATGTTTAAAAAGAACTGTGGTGAAATGTTTAACATGTTAAAAGCAAAGTAATTAGCCCTTTAAGGTCCTGAGCCTAAATATTGCCCATTCGGTATGTCTCAGCCATCTTGTGATGTAGTTCTCCTGTATGTCCAGCAGGTGGTGATGACAAACTTTTCAACTCTCCTCAAACATCTGCTGGAGTCACCAAAGAGGAATACGAGGCTCATTCTAACCTTCCTCCATACAGCAAACTGACCTGAACCAGAACCCAGCAGCTCTGCAGACGGGTTCCATCACCAGTTTAAGAACAGTTTCAGTTCTCGATCAGCCAAGAAATGAAGACATGAAGTTAAAAGATCGGTCAGACGGAGACTGATCAGCACAGCATCCATTAGTTTCCCTTTAACTCCCTGTATTTTCAGAATCTAAGTTATGATTTTATTGTGCTTAATAAATACATTTGAACAGTAGTGTTTATTTGTTTTTGAACAATTGACAGCTTAAGATGACACATGTGTCAAACATTTATTGCAAGGTGATGTATGGTGAAAGGAAGCGCGTTCCTGTTTAACTTTGTTCCAGGACATCCAGAGCAGCAGCAGCATTTCCTGAAGGAGCCAGGATGAAACATGATGCAAATGGATCAGATTCAGAGGAAACCACTCAGCCTGGCTTGTGCTGACAGGCCACAGAAAGGCTTGATTAGATTCTTCATGTGAACAGAAAGTCCTGAGAGACGGTGACAGTGAAGCGTGAGGCGATCATCAGCAGAACCACAGGACCAGCTGTGGTCACACAGCAGCTTAAAACAAGATGCAGGTCGGTGCTGTTACTGTATGAATATACAAGCTCATTTCATATTCTGAAAAACACTCTTCTACACGTTAAGACGCCTGAGGTACACAATGGAGCGCAAGCCTGCACAAAGTGTCTGATTCTGTATCACTGAATGCATTAAGTGGCAAAAGGCTCCAGATCTATGATGAAATCACTGAAAATAAGGAAAAGCTTCATTATCCCATTCAATCCAGGTTTTGCTTGGCTGGTGAATTAAAGGGATAGCTCATATTTGAGATGTGTCACAGAGTAAAGTCCTACCTGCAATATACAGACATTTAGGTAAGAAGAGCCAAATCAAAGGAGAACGATTAGCATTGCTTTCTGACAGTTGTTGGTGTCATCCAGGACATAACGCATTAAATAATAAATTGTATTGAGCTGTTAGCAAGTCATTACCATCATGAGAATGATTGATGGAGCTGGCATTAGCATCCACAGCAACTCTGAAGATGATGTAGGTGATGCAGGTAATGAAAATGTTTCATTCTCTTATAGAAGTGAATAAGAATGAAAATCTGAATTATCCCTTTATGTCATCAGCTAATGCTGCACTGCATTCCTTCCCGTTTATCATTTTGTTCAGAGACATTACAAGAGCAGGTGTGAACATTTCACTCACATTCCACTAGCACTGACATCCCAGTGTCAGTGGGCCAGTTCCCAGTAACAGCACACCATAGAGTAAAAAATTACAGTTTCAAAGTTTTCATTGCTGTTCCAAGAAAGACTAATTTGGCTATTTGGAAATATTTCAAGTAGCAACAAACTAACAGTCATGGTGTGAAACCTAAAGGACCACAACTCATCACTCTTATTAAGTAGGGATGCACAATATATTGGCTGATACCAGCCATGTTTCAACATTGGGATGTTATTGGTTTGATAAATGATCAATATCCTCCTAGATTTGGATATTTGTGCATTCTTACTATTAATAACTAAACAGTTGTGATGACACCAAGGCTAAATATGGCAACAAAGTCGGTGACAAAAAAAAATCTGCCAAAATCAGAATCAAATTCGGGCTTTTTCCAGATCAGTGATCAGCCATGAAACTGCCATAGCTGTACCCCAAACTGAAACGGCTGACTCTTCATTTCTTATCATCCTCATACTGATCCATCATGCCAACTATGGAGCAGCTCAGAATCAATTCAGGAATTCACGTCGCTGGAGTCCAGGCTCCAGCTAATCTCTGTTTTTTTTAATCTACCATCAATCCCAGCTGGTTTCTAATGAACGGTAAAAATCAATGCAAAAATGTCCAGTTGAGAATTCCTTTGATTAAACAATCACCTTGAATACCAAAGTATATAAAGATGATCAGCTTCTGTGCTCAGTGTCTTCCATTTCACTCACGTTTCACTCAGATGCCCTGACATAACTGGAAAATCTAAAGAACAGAGGTGAGCCCTGAAGGCAACAAACCATGCTGCCAACCAGAGTGGATGCCTGGACCGGTCCACCTCCTCCTCAGCCTCTTCTCTGCTCACTAAGGTGAAGATGGTTCTGTTACAATCACTTCTGGTCTCTGGCATCCAAACAAAGCACTTTTGATTGGAATTTACTGCTAAAATGTGAGAGTTTTTATGGGAAAATGAGTTCCTCCTCTACTCCGGCCCTGCATGCTTTAGGTGTCTGCTTGTTTCCAAACAGCTGAATTAAAAGAATGAGTGACTAACAGGCTCCTGCAGCAGTGAGTGTCTGCAGAGGTCATGAATGCATCTAAGACATGCAGGGCAGGAGTGCATGAAGCAGGTTTATGAACCACTATACTAATGGGTTGGACAGGATATTTGGCAATGAAATGGATCATATCTGGACAACATGAGCATCTGACCAGAAAACAGCTGCATGAAGTAATGGCATAAAAGAAATCATGTAAACAAACAGTATGGTTCCTCTACGACGGCGTACCAGGGCCAGACAGAGGAAAACAAGAGTGCATTTCCACAAATAAACTAATTATTTTCTAGAACAAAACCACAGATATTTCTCAATTTTATGAGTCGAAAATTTGCAACTTTTAATTTCAAAATTTCCCAGTTTTTTGTAGCAAACTTTCAACTTTTCAAACTGAGGAGATTCTGTGTTTCTTCTAGAAAATCTCAACATATAGATTTTTTTTCTAGTGAATTTCAACTTTTCAAACTCAAAAAAATTCCTTATTTTTTTTCTAGAAAATTTCTGAGATTAATCTCAAAATGTTTGAGTTTTTCTATGTACTCTGCCTTTCTTTTTCTATCTACCATGGCTCTAACACGCTGTATCAGTATCATCAGTGCTCTGTAGTTCCTCTCCTTGCTCCAGGTGTGGACAGCCAGTGGAGTTTGAGTCCTCAGCAGCTGCTGCAGCTCCACCCTCTGCCTCCGCCCCCGTCGCCGCTGTCATTCCTCCCTCCGCTCAGGGTGACGGTGCCTCCCGATCCCTCGGCCGGCTGGCTCAGCACTAGAGGTTTCTGGGACTTGAGCTTGTGGGCCACAGTCATAAAGATGGCTTCGACGTGGTCGCTGTCGCGGTAGCTCCCGTCTCCCAGGCTGTTGGGGCTCTTGGCGGACGTCTCAAACAGTGGCATGGAATGAGTGTCCGCAAACTGCTGCGCTACATCCGTGCCCACCTGGACGGAGTCCTGCAGGTCGCACTTGTTCCCCACCAGGATCCTGGGCACCTCGGTTCCCAGGGCGTGCTGCTTGCACTCCTCGATCCAGGCGGGGAGGCTGCGGAAGCTGGTGGCGTTGGTCACGTCGTAGACGAACACCACGGCGTGGACGTTGCGGTAGTAGTGCTGCACCATGGACTTCCTGAAGCGCTCCTGGCCGGCGGTGTCCCACAGCTGGATCTGAGTGGACAGAGCGGCCTTGTTATTTAGTTAACACCAAATAAACCAGAATCTAGAAGCTCTGCTGCTTCCTCCACAGGACTGGGAGTGATGGATAATAACAAGCTGCAGAGAAGAGGCAATATTCAAAAAACCTCAGTTTCTTCCAACTAACTGAATATGTTATTTATTCATTATTAATTATTAGCATCACTATTATTTCTACTTACAGCCCAGCAAAACATCACACTGGATAACTATAGTTAGTACTAACTGAACATGTTATCTGTTTATTATCAATTATTAGCATTACTACTATCATTAAGACTCGTGCCACAGTGAAATACTGTTATTGTTGGTCCACTACAGACCATGTTTACCCCACTGGATGACCTTAGATGACCCTGATGACAACTAATGCTGTCCTGTAAATCATTGCAACCAAACAGTTCAACACAGCCTCCATCAGGCCTTTAACTACACCAGAGCAGCAGAGCATGTCCACATTCAATCAGTCAAATCACATCAGCCTGTACAACCAACCAGCCAACGCTGCAAAGCACCATGGGTAGGATATTTTTCAGTCTTTTGCTGTATGATATTCTGTTGTATGATGTTTTAATGTTTCCTGAATAGGTCAATGTCTAAAATGAGAATTTGCTCTCAATCAACTGGCCTGCTTATAAAAAGGTAAACAAAAAGAAAACGAGATGGAGAAGCATCGTTTCCCCAAAAACTGATGGTGTCATCCAGGTCATGTTACTGTGGAATATTATGAATGTGGAGCTGTTAGCATGTCAGGACAGTCATCTAGTCTTCAATCAGAGGCTTCAGACTGCAACACTGACAGCTACTTAAGATCCATCCTGCCCACAACATCACCATCCATAATGACTGATTGCGTTATGACGTCATTTAATTTACCTTTAGGATGAATAAAGTATTTCTGTGCGCGTTTTATGATTTTAAGGTAAAAACATCAACTTTTCCTTTAAATCTGGTTCTATAAGAGACCAAATAAATATTCACAGTTGCAGTAGTTGCTTCTGCAATGAAACCCATTTTGATATTTGTTATATGAATATTTTTTTTCGGGCTGCAGCAGTAGAGCAGCCTCTTGCACAGTCATGTTTACCAGACTGACGGTTTCAGAGTCTAAAAGGCCGCAGATCACACCTTGATTTTCTCTCCGTCAATCTCCACCAGCCTCTCCCTGAAGTCCACCCCGATCGTGGCCTCGGTCTTCTCGGGGAACCTGCCCGCACAGAAGCGGAAGGTGAGACAGGTCTTCCCGACGCCAGAGTCCCCGATGACGATGATTTTGAAGATCCGGGTCCTGGGTGGCGGAAGAGCCGAGCTCGTCAGGGAGCCGGACAATTCAGCCGCGGAGCCGCTCTCTGCCATGTCCAGTCGAGTCGGGGCTGGTGACCTCACACTCCGGCGGAGGCTCCCTCACTGCCGCTCCCCGGGGAGAGGAAGAAAGGCGGACGCTAAAGAGCCTTCTAGAAGACGGCTGCCTCTCACATTTACTTCCAGACTCGGACGGTGCGTAAATATCAGCTGGTAGTTATCTATGAACGGATACTGTAAATTTAAACATTGTGTCTCCACCTCACTACGCCACCGATGAACCTCCACTGCCCAGCTGTGAAGCTACGTACGGTACTCGAAGAGGTTTAATTCTCGCGAGATAACATTTATGAGACGTTCATAGTCGCGTAAAAATCGTTGGAAACATAAGTTTTATAGAGATGATCGCCGAAGGCATTGATTAACGCATGAGGTGCTGGGTCAAATCTGACTCCTGACCGATGAAAAAGGTAGAAAGTGTACCATTGGTTTTATTGTAAAGGTTTTTTTAGAATATTATTTTTATTTTAATAAAACATAATCATATATTATAAAGGTCACTTAAAAGTGACATTTGTGCTGACATTATTGACAATAAAGAAAGGTGTTGGTAGCATTCAAACACATTAAAAGGGTTACAGTTCTTAAGTTTTACAGCTTTGCTTTTAAAATTTCTTGTTATGAATAGGGTCTTCTGACAATGTACAACTATGACTGTTACAGCATCTTGATTTTGATAGTTCATTAAATGATTCAAAAAGAAAAACATTTGGTAAATAAGTAACACATGTTCCAGATAAAAGGTGTTTTATGAATTTACTAATTATCCTGTTTCAATCAAAGGGATAATAAACAGGATAAGAAGATGAAGACATCAGGTGAGTAAAATGGTGCATGGAAACTAATCATCAGCAGCTGCTCTGTTGCTTCGTCCTCTAATCTGGACAAAGTTCTGTGGAGAAAAGAAAGAGTGCATCTGGTCAAGATGAAAATTTTAATGTTCAGCTAATGTCAAAATCATGAAAACATTGAATTATTTTCTGACCAAAACTTGGAAGTAAAAATGCACTAAGTTGACAAAGAGAGGTAGTGCAGGATACTACTACAATGTTTCAGTCGAACAAACAGTTGTATAAAAACACAAAATGCATATTTAATTTGTCCAGGGATAAATTTATCCTTTCTTAAATGCTTTTAACAATTTTACACCTAATACAACATCACACGCCTTTCCAAAAGGTTCCTTTTTTTCTTGTCAGTCCACAGAATATTTTCCCAGAAGTCTTCGCTTTTGGGAAAAGTTGGTCACTAAAATTTGTCCTAAATTTTTCAGCAGTGCTTTTAGCATTGGAAGCCTCCCACAGAGGTTACTTTTGCTCATGCTTTCTTTTTTACCTTGAACCTTGAACCTTGACCTTAGCATGTGAGGCCTGCAGTGAAGTTTGTTGCCAACCGCCAATAAACACAAGAAGAAGAACAGGCCTGCAGTGCTTTAAATGTTCTGGGTTATTTTGTGAACGTCTGGATCAGATATCAATGTACACTTGAAGTCATTTCTGCAGGCTGAGTGCTACTTTAATGGTTAGAATTCCTATTTTCACTTTCTGAACCATTAGAAAGACGGTTTGGTGAAGTTTAATTTTACATGTGTGACCAACGTAGTCAGTCTATTGTTTTTGTCAGTTTCAGATTCTTTATTATTTATTTAACATTTTACTCCTAATTGCACTGACTGAACAAATTGAAGTTGTTTTTACATGTTTGACCAAACTTGTGAAGCTATTGGTGGATTTATATGTGCTGTTCTGGTGCAGTTAGAAAATACATTTGTAATTTAGTATATTTATGTCTGTGTTGAAAAGAGCAAAACATTTTAAGTCAAATTAGCTGTTTTTCTGTATCAGATCAGTATTGACCGATACTAAACCTCAGATATCTGTATTGAAGTGAAAACAGTAGCTCAATGCATCCCTATCATGTGATTTTACAAATTTGTAATATTAACAATCAGGAAAATGCATCTTTATTTTCAGTTCTCCTTCCTGAGAGGCGAATGAAAGAAGGTTCTTTTATCAGATTAGATCAAATGGGTCCTTTTCACATATATAAGTGTGTTCTGTATCATCAGGGACTGGGAAGCTGATCAGAGTTGGGAGATGGAAGACCATCCAGAACAAGCCTGGAGGAAAACGTGGTAGAGTCTAAGGCAGAGGTTCACAGCTACACTGAGCCTGCAGCATATCAGCAGTGATATGATGGATAACTTGGATCAAAATATATTCTAAAATGGCCCATTCAAAGTCCAGACACTGATCTGTGGGATCTCCATCTACTCTGACTGAGCTTGAGCTGTGTTGCTTGTTTCTATCAAGCAACACAAGACAAGCAACAATAAAATCCTAATGAAATACATTCAAGTTTCTAGCTGTAAAATTAAAAAATGTAAAAAAATAAATAAAGTACAGGGACATTAAAATGGTCAAAGTTTCTTGAAAGTATTCTGCCATGTCAAAGCTTACTGTGAAATTCCAAGTCTTTGCCACTGATGAGGGTAACATTCACTGCGCTTCTGAGGCATTGTTCTTTGCTAAAACAGGAAAAAAGAAATAAATGAGTTATACTTGTGAGAAAATGTGTCATGGTTCACCACAAAGTGAATCATATGCGACAGAAAACTCCATAAAAAGCTCCGGAATAAACAAGAAGAATTACTGGATGTCTATTAAAGGCTGCTTCCTAAACACGCCTATTGATTGTGTAATCCAGGCTTATTTAGGAACCAATAAAGGAGAGTTTTCTACCTGAAGCATTTTCCAATTGACCCTGCATGTCACTGAAGTAAGTTTCAGTCGCAATTTGATGCTTAAACAAGACAAGCAGTGACAGAAAACAATGTTTGCTTACATTGGTACAGGCTGCTGCTGTGCTGCCAGGCAGTTTGCCTGGTCTAACCTCAGGGTCTGGTTGTCTGCTGTTTTGTTCAGTACCATCCACATGCTTTCAATGTGGTCCAGTACAGGGCTGAAGAAGAAGAGGCCTGCAGTGCTTTAAATGTGCTTTAAATGTTCTGGGTTCTGTCCCCTCAATGACTCAATCCAGCGGCCCAGGATCTGCTCAAAGAAAATAATCATGTTTTAGCTGCTCTGTTATTTTACACAGTCATGGTGAACAGCAGCAAGTCGACGTTTGTGTTCCCGGAGTTCCATCTGCTCCGGAGCTTTTATGGACAGCACACACGCTGTCCATTGTTTGCTGTGTGGTTTGATTCACTCCAGAACTGCGAAATTCTGGAGAATTATGTTGGTTAATCTTTATGGGGCAAGTAACATTTATGTTCTTGTCCTTTTAACCCAAGACTATTCGAATAGTCCTTGTTTTGACTTTTAAAATGAAGTTAAACATAATGACATATTTTTATTGCTCACTCAGGGGTAGAGAATGTCAATTTATTATTGCTAATAGTGTCATTATTATTACCAGTTTTTTAGTAGCATTTTTAGTATGATCAGTAATGTAATTAAGGACTTGCATATTTTTTCCTTTGTTATATAATAATTTATTATTATTGTTATTGTTATTATTATCATTGTTGTTGTTATATTTATTCCTTTATCTCATCAACCAAACACACTCTGTTACTTATATAGACTGCAATGGACTCTTCTTTTTCCGCACATTTTGTTTGCAATCTGTGTAACTCCTCTATTTGATTTGTTTATATAACAATAATGGAAAAACCATAATGACACATTAGCTTTGGGGCTAAGAATGACATGCATTAGTGAATCACATAAAATCACAAATCTATGTTTCTGGTTTGGACAAAAACAAACAACAACAAATCCCCCACCCCCAAAAAACAACTTATTTTTGTTTCTTTTCAAAAATAATAATAATTAAAAAAACAACTTATTTTTATTATTTTAACTTCAGCCATCTCTCCAGACATCTGGAGTTGAAAAATTTTTCTAATTTTATTTTATTTTATTGGTGAATTCTATGGTACAAAACATTGGTGCTATTAAAATGTTCCAAAATCTTTTGAAGTTCAATAAATCTGGCTGTGATACGTGACTTCGTTTGTAGCCAGACTCCAGAAATGCTTCGGGTTTTGTTTAGATTTTTTCATGATTATTTTTGCAAATATTTTTAGTGAGAATTTATGACCAAACACAGTTCTTACTTTAACATAAGCTTGTTTTTTTTTTTGTTTAAATAATAATTTGACCTGTAATTTAATGACTAGTAGACATGTACAAAGCTTTGATATTTAGATCAATGTGTTTATCTCGTGGTTTATTATTGTTTGTGCATGTAATAATCTTTAGCTTGGCATTTGTGTTTACTGTTCAGGTATAATTAATTTCTTCAAATTTATCAATCACATGTATTCCAGCATTTCGAACATATAGGGAATAACAATAAAAAAACAGCCACATAAAATCGTAACAGTGTGTATTGGCGCTGGTTATGACACAACATATACAGTACGTTCATTCAGCGTCACTGATGTAACGCACGTGAAACCTCTGCGTATTTGTTACATCATGACCTTCACATGCCCCACTACCTGTGTCTGTCCCACTCCGCCCACACTAACAAAAAAGAGAAAAGGAGAAAAATAACAAACTGTACACTCTCGATATTTTTTTTACAATTGTTGTTCAGTTTATACCGTCTGGCATATATATGCATAGTATTCACGAGCGACTGTAGAATATTTTGTAACTCAGTGTAATTTTTCAGGCAGTATCTATACAGCCTAATTCGGGGTCCTTCGGTGGTGTCTGGTGCAACATGTGTTAGATCATTCCAGAAGCGTCTCCGCACTTTCTTTGCTGTTGCAGACCAGACACAAGTAGTCAGAACGGGCCTGAGCGCGAGCTTCTTTCCGCTTGGACACTGACAGAGGACACTTCTGCAGCTTTATCTCCACAGTTAAGCTGTTCTCAGGTCGCTCTGGGGCTTTAAGCCTATCGCGCTTCTTTTTTGTTTGCTCGTTTGGAAACAGCTTTAGTTAGCTCGTTAGCCGGCTTGTCAAAATGTTGAGTGTCGCAAGGAGCGTTTCAAGGTCTTTGCCAACCAAGAACTGCTCTCGAAATGTGTCGTCTTTGGTGAAGAAGGTAAACGTTCAATCATTTTATGACCACATTTACACACGCTCTGTACTCATTCCGGCATGACACCCTGACAGCTAGCCGCTAGCACAGCATGCTAGTAGTGCTAGCTTGAGGCCACCTCGGTGAAAAGCTTTCGAGGTTGACCGAAGTGGGTAGTGACGTTTATGTCTTTGCTGGGATATTGAACATCTGCTGGGTGATGGTGAGCTGCTCGTGCTCTTCAGTTAGCTACCAACCTCATCACGAGAAGGATGCGTCAAAACTGTCACGCGTGAACTTAAGAGGTTATTACGTGAACAAATTAAGCAGAGTTAAAATTCACACATTCTCAGGTTGTTAATCTAACAATTGTTCATTCGTCTTCGAACTGTGTAAACGGGCACATTTTCTGACAAGGTTTTTCGAAGGGGTTATTAATGGTTCTGTGACCTTCATGAGTGCTCAACCCCTTCATGCTGTTGCACCGCTAAAAAGGGGCCCGGAAATCTTCTGTCTTCAACTAGTTTGACATGTTAATGTCGAATGGTCCTCATGGTAATTTCAGTGAGTTATGAATCACTTTGTAATTTTTTGTTCTCAGGCATGTTGGAGTGGGTTCCAGTCAGATGCAGTCAGAGCTCTGTCCAGAAGAGACTATGCGTGAGTAGAAACGCTGTCATACTGCTGAATGAAGTTTAGCCATGTTCAAAGCCAGTTACACAGTGTGAAACACAAACTCACCACTTCCTGGTGTGTAATGTGTATGTGCTGCAGGTCGGAAGCCATCAAGGGGTCAGTGATCGGCATTGACCTGGGAACCACCAACTCCTGTGTCGCCGTCATGGAGGGGAAGCAGGCCAAGGTGAGGATTAGCTCAGGGATGTGGACACACTGGCTTTAAACAGAGATGCTGTCTCAAAGTTGGTCAGCATATCTACTTTATTTGGCTTTTTATTTGGATCTTTTTGATGCATATTGGAATAGGGTAAAGGATTAAACATTGTTTGTTTGTGTCAAATAATGTTTATTCTGAAATATTTATGTGTCAAGCATTGATTTTATCTTTTTAGTTTTTGTCCAAGTAGAAAATTTTGTTTCCTATTGAACATATGTTATTTGAAATATTTATTTGTAGAAAGAGCAGTAAATTGGTGTTCGTTAGTTTTATTTACCTCCAATTATCATCCAAATTTTGAGCAAACTCCTAAAATGTCGCAAACTAGGCATGTTTCCATCTACTGGCTTAGAACGAATCAACCAGGCTACACAAGGCGTAATTTCATCAATAATTTCAGCCATTAATACTGGCTGTATTAAAGAGGAAGTAGAGGTTTCAAACTCGCATGGATCGCATCTCAGAAAAATGGAGAGTTCTCGCCTCTGAACTAGAAGTTTTCTCTTAAATATGTTTTGAGTTTTTGTGCCTCGTTTAAGGCCAACTGGTCAGGCTGGGGTAGATTTGATGCATCTAACTACTTGACAAACATTTTCCATCTCCTCTGTAGTGTATTAACTGTTTTTGGAAAAAGCCAAACCCACCCTGAAGAGTTCCTCCTCCTCCTACAGGTGTTGGAGAACGCAGAGGGAGCCAGGACCACCCCGTCAGTCGTGGCCTTCACACCGGAGGGGGAGCGACTGGTGGGCATGCCTGCTAAGCGCCAGGCGGTCACAAACCCTAAGAACACGCTGTACGCCACCAAGCGACTGATTGGCCGGCGCTTTGACGACGCTGAGGTCCAGAAGGACATGTGAGTGACTCTCCAGAGGAGTGCGCCTTTATCCCTGAACACACATGATGTTAATGTTCTACTTTCCTCCATCCTCAGAAAAAATGTCCCCTTCAAGATCGTCCGGGCCTCTAATGGCGACGCTTGGGTGGAGGCTCATGGGAAAATGTACTCACCCAGCCAGGTGGGAGCCTTTGTCCTGATGAAGATGAAGGAAACGGCAGGTATGTTGCCAGGGTAACACCGGTTCTGTGAGGGAGCAGAGGATGGCGCTCTGACTCTGATTGTGTTGCAGAGAACTACCTGGGCAGCAACGTGAAGAATGCCGTCGTCACTGTTCCAGCTTACTTCAACGACTCTCAGAGACAGGTACCACACACGCACACACACACGCACACACACACACACTAATCCCCGGTTGTCTTGTTTGGGCTTCAGCTTTGATTTGATACTCAGTTTTTAATAGGCACCCCAGTTTCTGGCTCTGTCCGCTGAACATATTGCTTCTAAAAATGAGTGAACTGGGTCACCGGATTCCGAAAAGGGAAAGGCTGCTTGGGACTGAAAACAAGACTGTGTGTTTGTTCTAATAATGAAGTCAGCCTCTTTATGCAGGAGCTAAATATTCACTAATATTCTGTTGTTACTTTCAATTTAAACTTAAAAATATTTGGTGGCGACATTCTCTTTTTCTACATTAGCTTGTAAAAGTTAACAATTTCCTGCTTTGATCCCATTGAAGGAACAAATATGTCTGTTGCTTTCTTATCTTACAAAATAAGACAATTTCTGTGTTTCACTTCAGTAATAATCAGAAAAACATGAACTATGACATTCAAACTCAAAAAGACTTTATTTTTCCCAAAGGGAAATTAAATGTTATAACTCATACCATCCATACAGAGTTGTTGTGGATGGTGATACTGAAAGATCTCCAGTAGCAGTCAATCTTACAACAAAAATGAAGAGGCCAAATTGTCCAAGCAGCATGATCTTCCTTGGATGACATCATCAGTTGTTGGCAGCTCTGCCATTACCCCTCATTTGTTTCTATTGCTCCTCTTTAAAGTACAGAGGAGAAAATCCCAGTGCAATCTGGGATTTGAACCTCCTCTTCTGCTCTAGTCAGCTCCTTCTGGGGGTTATAGTTCAGATGATGCC